CTGTCTCAAAAAAAAAAAAAAAAAAAAAAAAAAAGATATTCTTGAAACCATACAATCCCCTATATGAATAATACAAAACCTTAAGCTCTTTTACAAATGAGAAAATTAATGCCTAAAGAAGAGAAGGTGACCAAAACCAAACAACTAGTTGGAGAGAAAGAATCAAATTGGTCAAGCTGCAAGGAAAATCAGAAAGCAGCATTTATCTATGTCTAGGTTAGTGCCTAAATCTATATCTATAACTAGGGATCTTTGAGTTCTAAGACTAGTTTGTCCGCCAGGCACGGTGGCTCATGCCTGTAATACCAGCATTTTGGGAGGCAGAGGCGGGCAGATAATGAGGTCAAGAGGTCAAGAAGACCATCCTGGCCAACATGGTGAAACCTCGTCTCTACTAAAGATACAAAAATAAGACGGGTGTGGTGGCGGGCCCCCGTAATCCCAGCTACTCGGGAGGCTGAGGCAGGAGAATCACTTGAATCTGGGAGGTAGAGGTTGCAGTGAGCCGAGATCGCGCCATTGCACTGTAGCCTGGGCAACAAGAGCAAAACTCTGTCTCAAAAAATATATATATATAAAGTTTTTCTTTCTTTCTTTTTTTTTTTTTTTTGAGACGGCGTTTTGCTGTTGTTTTTCTTCTGTCTCTATTTCCAGAAACTCTGTAGCCTTAGAAGCCATCTCCCATGAAACCTTAAACCGTAGTTTTGAGGGAGGTGGTGAGGTTTACTGGGTAGCCATGTGAAACCCAGTTCTCTTAGTGTCATATCCTTATAGGCAACTACCAGTCAGAACCTGCAATTGGTAGTTTCTCAGGCACTTCATATTTAGTCTCTCAAAAATTTAACCTTCTAAACCTGGTGCTCTTCTTCCCTTGCCCCTACCTAAGTGAGTAGCAACATCCAGCTTTTTAAACCCCAAACCCGAGTCAATCCTTAACACTTCCTCTCCGTCCACTTGCTACAGCCAGTCATTCACCAAATCCTGCCAATTCTCCCTCGCAAATGCCTCCACTGTCACTGGCACATTCTTTTCTTGCCTGGATCAGTTAAATGGTCCTTTATCCCTCCTTCCTGAATCCACCCTGGATTTTGTGAAATCTACTTTCACACAACAACCACAGAGGTTTAAATGTAAATCCGACCACATCAGACTTCTTCTACCCTCCAAACTGCTTAAAATTTCCACGTTTCTCTTTACCTATAAGATAAATTCCAAACTCGTAAATATGACATGTAAATCTCTCCATGCCATGTTTGTCCCCGTTTTATTCATTTTTTGAATCCAAACTTAAATCCTATCTTCTTTTCTAGATAGCTTTTCCTGACATTTCAGAGGAAAGTGAGTGTGCATATTCTGTTTTCTCATTGCACTTTCCATGCCTTTTATAGCATTATGACACTTGCCCTTCTAATGAAACTCTTTGTGTAGTTTTCTGATAATCTGTTCTGTTCACCTAGATTGAAACCCTTTAAATGGATAGAGCCATGTTTGTTTGTTTTTGCCTCCCACCTAGGTCCCACACAAGGCCTGATTATCTGGTAAAGGTTCAAAAAACATTAGCAGAGTTCATTGAAATTCACTCATAGCTAACCTTCCTTATTTGTCCATTTTCTCCAACGGGCATGGTTATACTTTGTTGTGTAATGGAGGAAAGGTAGAAAATCTTAACTCCTGGGACACCAGCTTCTACCTGGCCCTCCTGGTTTGGCAGATGTTTCCTGTTGACACTGTCACTCCTGAGTAAGGAATCTGAACTTCTTTTTGTTCATTGTTTTCACCTTCCAGCTCAATACTACCCAGGTCAATCCCTTGTTCTCCCTGGATTTCTGCTCTTCTGTGGTCACTGGCTCAGAGACGTGCCAGATTTTTTTTTGGGGGGGGGGTTGGGTGATGGAGTCTTACTCTGTCACCTCAGCAGGAGTACAGTGGCACAATCTCGGCTCACTACAAC